AGTGATTTGTGAACTTTGAGACTCAACTTTTCTTTAAGTAGAGAGACAGGAAGAGGGCATTTTGCTTCTAGGAAACTGGACCTTTATGGATGAAGTAAAGAAAGAGGAAGAAAAGTATATCTTAATCATAGCAGTTAATGTCAATTTAGCATTTCCTATTTGTCAGGCACGTGCTAAGCAATGTCTCCATGTTATTTAGTTGGTAAAATACCCCTATGAGGCAGGTACTGTTATCCCTTTTTACATAGGAGGGAACTTAGATTAAGTGACTCACTGGCTCCGTGAGTTTCGGTAGGTGATGGAGCCAGGCTTCAGACGCAGCTGGGCTCCTCGCAGCTCTGTGCCTTCCCTGCACACCTACGTTATGTTGCCTTCTGAGGAAGCTGGTTGTTGGGTAGTGACGATGTAGCTCTTGGATGAGAACAACTATTCAGGCGTTGTGCAAAGGAGAGATACGGGCCCACTTCAGCCAAAGAACTGTTAGCCTAACATGGATTGTACCTGAGGGAATTTCAAGCCAAAAAAAAGAAACCTCTGCTGTGAAAGGCAGGAGACGTTTGATGGCTCCGAGCGTTGTGTAATGATGAAGTACTAAGATTATCTGCTTGTATTCAGGGGAAAATTAACTAATTGAATAACGGGCTGTTGGAAAAAGAAGATAGAATCTATTTATGCATTTTTGTAAAGCAAATCAATTGAGAAGAAAGCGAAAATCAAAGGGTCCGGAGGGCTCATGGCATTTTGTGTGGAACCACACACCACAGTTTCATGTGCATTCTTGGCAACCTTCTCAGAAAACAAAAACAAAAACAGGAACAGCTCTTAAGGTTTGAATGAGGACAATTATACTGATCAAAGGACTATTAGAAGACACCTTATCAATTCGTGGAAGGTATGGGACACTTATTTCAAAGTTATTTGAAAATTATTTGTGTTTCATGGGCTGTGAATTATTCCTCTAACCTTCCCATCCATCTTACCATTAGCGTTCTTCCTGGGATTTAGAATCTCTCTCTGCAGGCTCGTGTTCAGAGGAAGTTGTTTTGCTGTGTTTGATTTTTCCTTTTTCTTTTTCTTTTTTTTTAACATCTTTATTGGAGTATAATTGCTTTACAATGGTGTGTTACTTTCTGCTTTATAACAAAGTGAATCAGCTATGCATATACATATATCTTCATATCTCCTCCCTCTTGCGTCTCCCTCCCACCCTCCCTATCCCACCCCTCTAGGTGGTCACAAAGCACCGAGCTGATCTCCCTGTGCTATGCAGCTGCTTCCCACTAGCTATCTATTTTACATTTGGTAGTATATATATACCCATGCCACCCTCTCAAATCGTCCCAGCTTACCCTTCCCCCTTCCTGTGTCCTGAAGTCCATTCTCTACGTCTGCGTCTTTATTCCTGTCTTGCCCCTAGGTTCTTCAGAACCTTTTTTTTTTTTTTTTTTAGATTCCATATATATGTGTTAGCATATGGTATTTGTTTTTCTCTTTCTGACTTACTCCACTCTGTATGACAGATCCTAGGTCCATCCACCTCACTACAAATAACTCAATTTCGTTTCTTTTTATGGCTGAGTAATATTCCATTGTGTATATGTGCCGCATCTTCTTTATCCATTCATCTGTTGATGGACACTTAGGCTGCTTCCATGTCCTGGCTATTGTACATAGAGCTGCAATGAACATTTTGGTACATGAGTCTTTTTGAATTATGGTTTTCTCAGGATATATGCCCAGGAGTGGGATTGCTGTGTCGTATGGTAGTTGTATTTTTATGATTTTTCCTTTTTCTTTCTCTGCCTCCTTTTACTAATCCTTTCTAGTAGTTTGAATGGTTTCAGGATCCTGAGAGTAGAGTCGGGTTTTGTTTAAGTGGCTAAGGCTCCCATCCTGCGGCCATGTCAGGGGTGTTTCAGGGGTGTCATTGAGCTCGTGGGAATTTGGACGCACTGTTAGAGAGAGGCTGTGTGCCTCGAGCCTTAAGGCATCCCAACTTTCTATGGGTTATGGCCTCAGGCAGTGATCCCTCACCCTCTCTTCTTGGCCTCCTTTCTGCTGGCCAGTGGGGAGCCTGGTTCATACACAGCCTCCTACCAGCCAGGGGTGAACTTTTATTCCCCCTAATCAGACAGAAGCCAAACTCCTGGTTTCCTCTGCTTGCCATTTTGTGCTTCATTTGTTTCTGGCCCATGAAGACTTTTTTTCCCTCCCATGTTTGTGTCTAGAGTGAAATGGGGTGTTGAAAGTGTGAACTCATAGCATTATCTTTACTCAGAAAAGATAGACCTATTTCAAATAAACATAACAAAAATCTCCCTAAAGGTAAATGGACTGAGGTCTGCATGATCATCTCTCAGAAGTTTTAAAGAGACTTCCTTCTTTTCCCTGCTCTGTATGGGATATTGAATTGGTTTCTAGAAAGTTCCACCGCATTTCTGAGAGTCTCTGTTTCTACTCAGGGCTGTTTACAGTCGCAGCCGGTGATCCCAGTTTGTTGGGATTTCTGAGTTTTCACATCCTTTTTAATGACTTTTAAATCCCCTTCCTGTAGTTTATTAGAGGCACCTGCTTTTACCGTGTCTAGTTTGTGCTTTCAGCAGCTCAGGAGCAATAGCTAACATAGTCATCAGCACTACTTTAGCATCTGGCATTTTTTCCCTTTACTTCAGTTAGCAAGGTTAGTGAGTATTGTGTAAGGGAAGAGCTAAAGAAGTGCTGGCTGGAAATCTAAGGACTTGTCTAGGAGCAAATCGCCCAGTTTGGGGGAAAGGGGGGATTTTGGACACTAGTGTAGGTCTGGATTTTTAGTTTACCACTTTGGATGAACATAGTGGTATCCCTTTCTAGAAGGTAAAGACAGTTTTAGATTTCTTGCCAGATGGGCAAGTTTGACATCCTGGGAAGTACTCGTCTTGGAGGAGAAAGGATTTTAGATGCAAGTCAACAGACCTGGCATGACTCCGACTCTGCCACTTTTGATTATTTTGTCTTGAGCAAATAACATGACCTCTGTGTACCTCAGTTAATAAATCTGCAAATTAACTGAATTTGACTAAGCAATTTCCAAGGTTTCCCCAGTGTTCCACGGGTTCCCAAGGTACATGCCATGGTCTCAGGGATGTTCAGGCCACATCTAGAGCTGGGTTTAGTTCTTTACTGAAAGGTCCCCTGCACCAGAGTGGCTAAGAGGTTGGCCTTTGGTGTGTGGCAAACCTAGCTTTGAATGTCAGCTCTACCTCGCACATGATTAAGGAGGTCACTAAACCTTCCAAGTCTTGGTTTCCTTATATACAAAATGAAGACAAAAATTATATCTATTGTAGAGAGTTGTTTTGAAGCTTAATAAGATAATTCAGTAGAAAAATTTGCTCAGGGACTAGCACATAGAAAGCAATCAGTATGTCTCTCTTTTTGTTAATTATAAACTCCTTGAGAGCAGGCATTCTGCCTTACCTATCTTAGTGTAGTTCATTTACCTTTTTATTTCAATTACTTAGTTCCATGTTTTATATGCAGTAGTGTTCAATAAATGTACAATTAAAGTACAATTTTTAAAAAAATTTTAAAATAATTATACAAATTTAGAATGAATACATGTCAAAAATTTATTTAGCTTATTTTTTCTTTTTTTTTTAAGAAGATGTTGAGGGTAGGAGTTTATTAATTAATTTATTTATTTTTGCTGTGTTGCGTCTTCGTTTCTGTGCGAAGGCTTTCTCTAGTTGTGGCAAGCGGGGGCCACTCTTCATCGCGGTACGCGGGCCTCTCACTATCGCGGCCTCTCTTGTTGTGGAGCACAGGCTCCAGACGCGCAGGCTCAGTAGTTGTGGCTACAGGCCTAGTTGCTCCATGGCATGTGGGATCCTCCCAGACCAGTGCTCGAACCAGTGTCCCCTGCATTAGCAGGCAGATTCTCAACCACTGCGCCACCAGGGAAGCCCTATTTAGCTTTTTAATAAAGGAATCAGCAAGATAATACAAGAAGAGGAAAATGATTATGTAGTTTATACCAAAATAATTTTTCTAAATTTGAGACAAAATTAGTTTATGCCCTTATGGGGGAATAGAACCATAACCTTTAAAGTGATCTCTTCTTGACATTTGTACCTCTGCAGGACAGAAATCCTCAAGTTAACCTACAGTCATAAAGTTCTTAGATAAGCCTGTGACACTACTCTAGAATGACATTGTGAGGATATGCAAGTTCCTTTTTGGTATTTCCAAGTTTGGGGTAATTTTTCTAAATAGTTATAATAAGACTAAACCCAAAGTATTATTTATCTTAGAAAAAGATTAAACAGGAATATGATTCTAGTATATAAGTATCTGTTTTCTGCCTAAACTTATAATAAGTACTAAGTTCATCCATAATTATGTTTTCATAATGTTTCATTAAGGGGAATGTAGGGGTATTTAGGAAAGCACGACTAATTTCTAAGATAACATGGAGAGTAACCATTTAATAAGTGCTTACATGGGCCATGCACCATAATGAGGGTTTTATGTATGTTTTAGTTTAATCTATAAACGATCTTGTGAGGTAGGCATTATCTCCATTTTGAAAATCAGATAAATGAGTCTGTGAGGTTAAATAACTTAATCAAGATTACGAAGCCAATATGAGCCAGAATTGAGGTTTAGTCTGCTCCTGAGTCTTAGGTTTCCTGCAGCGTCCTATGTACATACCTCCCTAAATTGTAAACTCTCCTGAATTTTAAAGTACATCTCTAGGTAACATACAGATGAATGGGTCTAGTTTTGCTTATATGATACAGCATATACAAAATGGTTCTTTTTCCTATAAGAGACTTGCCATTGTGAAACTGCTTGAGATAAGTGGTCTTTCAGTTCCCTGGTCACTGGATTAAAACATGCATGTTTTAAAGAAAAGTAGAACTATTCTGTTTGCTCCTTTTAAAGGCCCCTGTTCTCAGGTTGTCGTCTTTGTAACTTATCTGTCTTCCTTATATCTCTTCTGGTCCCCAAAATGTCTGTAGGTGGGCTGGATCCTTTCCATTCTGGATGAACTGCAGCTGAGCCCTCAACCTCCGGTTGGGGTCCTTCCTCTGGGGACCGGGAACGACCTGGCTCGAACTCTCAACTGGGGAGGGGTAAGAACTGCCCTCAGGGGCTGCCCATGTCATCCAGCAACAGATCTCCAAACCCATAGATGCTCAAGTGGAAGGGGCACATGCTACTCTTGTTCAAGGACCAAGTTAGAGTTGAGAATCAAGGTCCCCCATGAACCATGGTTTTATCTGGTGACTTCTTCAATTTAAACTTACAGTCAGCTAAAGAAGAAGGGAACATTTTATATTAAAAAAAAAATGGGGGTTAGTATACAGGCCTGGGGCTTTTTGAGGTACCCACTAAAGACAGAGGGTGGGTTGGCCTTAGGTCCTCATGTTAAACAATCACAGAGACTTGAATTGCTCCTGACCCCCAGTCCTCTCCAGAAGAGTGAGTCTGGTTCAGAGTTACAATCCTGGAAGAGTTATGGCTTTGTTTGAGCATTTAGATTTCTGGTCAGTGTCGTCATGATTTTATACAGGTTATACAGGTAACCAACTGTTGGTTATACAGGTAACCAACTGTCCTTTTCAACATGGAGCCAATTCGGGAAAGCTTGTTGAAAGTAATTTACCTGTCACTAACCAGCCATTTTATCATCATCATCATCATTATTTTTATCGTACTAAGAAAATAAGAAAGCACAATATACTAACATATGCTGCCCCACCAGCTTTTTAACTGCTCATATGAGACCATTGCCTGGGCTGAGCTCCATGAAAACTATCTTCAGATATTAGCAGATGTTACTCTGGCTTTTGGGTGCATTCACCTCCCATAGGTGATAATTATGTCCAGATATTAGCAGATATTTATTTGGCCTTGGATGAATTAACCTCCCATCGGTCTTTTTTTTTTAAAGTAAACATGGTATAAATCATAAATATATTTACATGAATCAGCTAAATGTATTATTGGTATTAATTCCTCTTATCCAAATCAGTGACTTGACTGTCCTTAATAATCGTGCTATCAGTAATGTGTGCTCAAGGAGTAAGTAGCTAGCTCCCTGGCAGGGCTATTCCTCAGTCAGACTTGCCCTAGGTCCTGGAAGGAATGGTGTCCTAGTACAAGGTCAGGGAGAGGTGAGTGAAATGGAACGTCAGTGGAAGAAATTGTCTAGCCGATGTCACCTTGATTCTTTTCCCGCTTTTCCACATACACTTGTTCTGTGTATCCTCCAAATTCCTCTAGTTTTCACTTTTCACTCTGATAAAAACAGCCATCCAGCATGGATCTCAAAAGCCTGCCGGTGGCCGTTGGTTCTTGGTGCTGGCAAAAGTCATTCCTCAGCTCAAACCAGCTAGAGTTAGTATTTCTGTGCACATTACCCATGCCTATTGTCTTAAATTCTAAGTACCTCGAGGAAAACAGTTTACTCTCCCAGCCTTGCTAATTGCAAAATAAACAGCTGTAGAACAAGGGCTCTGCCTTGCATGAAATACCTTTGGCTGTACTGTTCCCTTCTCCAGACAGCAATGTGTGTGCTCTTTGATTCCTTAGGGCTACACTGATGAACCTGTTTCCAAGATCCTTTGCCAAGTAGAAGATGGGACGATTGTACAGCTAGATCGCTGGAACCTCCATGTGGAAAGAAACCCAGACTTGCCTCCAGAAGAACTTGAAGATGGCGTGTGTAAGGTTAGAGAGTTCTTCCTTCAGCAGAAAGCTAACCCTGGAGTATCTGCCTGAGTCACAGGAAATACGTTCCTGGCTGGAGGGTCATGTGCTGATTCCTTCCTATGAGATGACAGGACGGTGTTTGAGTTGACGGCTACTAGGGCTATGAGTATAACACTTCCTGATGATTCTGCCCCGTAGACTTCTAAAGACCAAGATTTCCTACCTACTTCCATAGCGCAGGGAGCTGTTCTCTGTCCTCAAATTCCACACCAGAAAGAAATATATCAGTTTTCTAATCTTTCAAATTCATTGCAAACTCTTAACCTATGAGAAGTTAAAAAAAAATCGTATGATCTGAAGCATCAGGCACAGGGTCTTTCAAAAGAAAGATAAATGCCTGAGATTTCTGGTCTGATAGCAAATATTTCAATTTCATCACGTGATTGGGACATCAAGATGCCTAAATAAATGTTTGACTTAGTGTTTTTCCTTCAGTGATTGAACTTGTATCTCAACCCAAGACAAACCAAGGGACATAATTGTAAAAATGCTACTATAGAGCTTCAGGGGAACATTTGGCTTTAAGTTCTGGCCTCAATCTCAGATAAATTTGATAGGTTTCTGAGTAGACACTTGCTTTCTATTACTTTCCGCTTTCCTTCTACAACAGTGTTTTCAAATTTTTGTTGTGTAAGAATCTCCAGGTGTGCCTATAAAATGCAGATTACAAGGTCGTATTCCCAGTGATTCTGATTAAGTAGGTGCAGGGTGAAGGCCCAGGCATCCGTACTTAAACGGCATCCCTGCTATATTGGGTTGTGCCATTGACTGAGGCCAAGATTTCATGGTGGTTTCAGCCTTAAAATTCGATATCATTTTAGACCAAATCAATGCACCTTTACTGATTAGTACCATGATCCTGACCAATTGTGATAGATGCTCAAGTTACTTATTTGGCTAAAATTGGTTAAAACATGTTTTGTCTTACCTTCATGGTTTTTTCACCTAAACTATGATCCAGAAACTATAAGGTTGTTAGTAGATATCATGATTGCTCAGTTGATCTTGAGTTCATAACGTCACAACGTTGTTTAAACAAGTGTCATCTTGGGATATAATACTTCTTCCTAATGTATTTGACTTACAGAAATTGGATAGAAAACAGCTGAAGTACAAAGAAGTGTACCATATGGAAATGTTATGGACCTAACCCCACTCAACTTGGAATGGTTAGATCCTCAATAGCAATCTATATTTAATTCTCTTCCCAATAGCTTAAGAAATGGAAAGACTTCTTGGTGCAGCCTGGGAACATTAATCCAGATAATTAAAGGGTTTTGAAAGTGAATTTTTGAGGAGATGTGTAGGAAATCAGGGCAATTTTTCCTGGAAAATATGAATAAGAACTTAATAACAGACTAAATTGTGATGTTATTTAGGGGATGGTGACCAGATGTTCTCCTAAGTTATCAGTGGATGCTAAGACATGGGTTAGAATTGTAGCCAAAAGAGCATAAATGGGAGAAATGAACATATCTGCGCTTTTGGCAGGATCACCAACCCTTGCTGTCATTACTAAGGACTTGTATTTTGTTTCAGTGCAGGAACTGGACATTCTCATATTTGAAGCCAGGAGAGTGAGACATGTTTTGGCAAGGTTCTGTGTGTTTAGTTTCTCTCCCTGTTCTCTAGTCGGTTGTAACGACTTCTAAGGGCTGATCTGACCTCTGAATCAGTACAAGCTCTGACTCGGCGTTCCATCGAAGGGTTCATCCTTTATTTCAGTTTTTCTCTTTCTGCATTAATATCTCTTGCTCTCCCTCTGACTCTTCCTCTCATTTCATTTTTCTCTTAATGGGACACGATTATCGCTCTAGTCAAACAGAAAATCTTACTGATCAAGGGGCATATGAAACCCTGTAATAAACTTACTTTTGAAATCTTGAGGCCAAACACTTGAATAGAAGTGAAGTGCCTGTCCCTAGTCCCTTGTGAATATGGTAACATGTAACCAAAATAATGCATTTCTATCTGGAGGATAAACCTGATAATTATCTGGAAACATTATCTAGGCTGAGATAAAATTACCTCTCCATTTCCTTTTTCTTTTTTTTTCTTTTTGTTTTGCGGTACATTGGCCTCTCACTGTTGTGGCCTCTCCCGTTGCGGAGCACAGGCTCCGGACGCGCAGGCTCAGTGGCCATGGCTCACGGGCCCAGCCGCTCCGCAGCATGGGGGATCCTCCCGGACCGGGGCACGAACCCGTGTGCCCTGCATCGGCAGGCGGACTCTCAACCACTGCGCCACCAGGAAAGCCCCTCCATTTACTTTTAACGTTTATCTTTCATTCTGAGTTGCAGAAGGAAAAGTGTAAGAACCACCATTTGCCTTCTAGCATTTTCCACATGCTTTTCTAATTCAACTGAAGCTTTCAAATCATATCAGCTTTGTAGTTTTAATGCAGGACTTTAGGCTGCATAGTTTGTTCTTTCCTTTACTCAGCTTGTAGCAGTAACAGCCAGGGACCCAGAGGACTCTGGGAAGGAAAGCTAAGGCTTGTATGTGTATCTGTGTGTCTGCGTTGCATATTTCAGAGTCATATTAAAGATTAGAGTTGATAGACTAAATAGGAATCTGAATACTGATAAATACACACACACATATATATTTTTATTTTTATTTTTATTTTTCCTCTAGGTTGAGAATAGCTGAATGGCTCCCACTGACTTATTGCTTACATGACTTTTGTCAAAAAATGTATTTTTTTGGAAAATAAGTGAAGGGTAAACAAATGTTACTCATTTTAAGTTGCAGTATTAATATGCTGAACGTAAATTCTTGAAAAAACTTGCATCCACTGATTAAGAAGGTTGGACACGATCCTTACAATTGAATTTACTTGCTAAGTTTGCTTGTTGAATCATCCTGTGTAACTATTACAAACGTGCATCCCTCAGCTTATGAGGTTCTCTTATTACAATGTACGCAAGAATGGTTCTCATTGAATAATTTGTATTTGTATCCCTTTTTTCCTAAACTATTTAAAATTCTTAGGAGTATCGTTTGAGTTGAGCTTTCACTAAAGAATTAATTCAAAAATCCGTTGTTCCTTCCTCATAGACACCCTGCCTTGAGTTTTAATTGATCGTCCTCCCAGGGACTTGCCCCAGAGACAAGTGTCTGGCCTTAGGTTTTATTTTCCTCTTTTTGCCTGGTCACACACAACTTCACCTCTGCCTTTGTTCATCATTGCAGCTTCCTCTGAATGTTTTCAATAATTACTTCAGCCTCGGATTTGATGCCCACGTCACACTGGAGTTCCATGAATCCAGAGGTGAGGACAACGTCCCATTTCCATCTCCCAGGGAGGAAGTTTCCAGCAGGTGTTTTGCATGTTCCGTTTTGTTCGCATATCACTTAAATGTTGACAGTGTGTCTAATGCAGTTGCATTTGAACCTTCATGTTGCCCCTGGGAGCTAGACAAGATAGGAACTTATTACAGATGTTACTTTGAGACCTCATTGTTTAGGGTCTCAAAGATGGTAAAGGTCAGGACCAGATGTTTACTCCGGGACTCAGGACTGCTAATCTTTAGGTTTGACTAGAAACTTTGAAGTTAGCGAACTACTAAGAAGTGGTAAAAGGAGAGTCTTTCACTGAAGTCATTAGAATACTTACAGCTTCTCAAACCACCCATTATTAAAGTTCAGGACTTTATAACCAAGGTCATTGGAATCTTGTAGCCAAACGTGAAAGTCTTCCCTGTGTGCACAAAAGAGACAACAGTCACCTGTTGTCAACAGTACGGGGGCTGGCTACAGGTGGTTTAGGTTGAAAGAAAAGGGCTTGACGGTGATTGGATTAGGCACGGAAGGTGCTTGGAATCTCCACTGGACGAGGTAGTATGAGTGAGGGCTGGTGGTCATTTAAGTACTAGAAGAGATGGAATCGAGATTTGGGGAAGCAAAATAACTTTTGAAAGAGAAATAAGATGAAATAATGACAAGTTAAATATTTCATCAACATTTTCTTATGTCATTCAGAACTGAGAAAGTTTAGGATTTGGGCTTATGCTTTGAAGCCTCAATCTCTTGCTTTCTTGGTCTCTCTTAATCTCTTTCTCTTAAACTCTCTTCTTGTACAATACGTCTATGTCTCTGCCTGTCCCTAGTCCCTTGTGAATATGGTAACATGTAACCAAAATAATGCTTGGCTGCAAGTATAAGTAATTTGTGAGATAAAAGTCATAATGAGGGATCCTTTTACTTTTCCTCTAGATTCTGCAAGAGCCTCTAAGCTTTTAACTCATAGAATTTGAAATACAGAGTACAAAAGGCTAAAGTTCAATGGTTCAGATTCCAGTAATAATGCAGAGAAAGTTCTGACAACACTTTTATATACTAAAGATCAGGAATGGGGCTATAGGATTAAGGCCGTTAGAAGACAAAATAAAAGTAGAGTATAAACCTGTAATTCTCTTACTGAATTCAGCAATTTTGTTAGACTTTGCATTCCTGGTTTCATGAGGCTTTGAGGGTCAAATGCTGAGCTAAGTAGAAGGAGTACTGATTAAAGAAAGAGTCATAGTTTTCTCTGGTCAACCAGAAAATCACAGATAGAAAGGTTGGTTGACAACAGAACCATAAATAGCAAATACCCAAATCAGAAACACCGACACGCTCCGCACCTCCCTGCTCTAGACAGTTCTCAGAGATTAGATATTCAGAGGGTCGTACATTAGGGCTGGCATTTATAACCTGCTGCCTTTCCTAATTTAAGGAGAGTAGACTTGGGGAAATAACTGGAGATTTCTTTCTCCATTTCTTACCCCATTTATTTCTCATATTCTTTGGGAGACTCTGGATCTGGGCTTCCTAATAAAATCTTTACGTTTCTTAACAGTACTTGTAAAGCAGTACAGTTATCACTAATGCATGAACCTCCAAATTAGCCATCCTGCCAGGAAAAGAGGCCTAAGTGAGTAAGTGCTGGACAGAGAGCTCATTCAAGGGAGCCTAATATTTTGTCTTATTAATCTGAAAGTTATCCTAATGATATGTTTCCTTGTGGTGAAACTTTGGTGCCTCAGAATGAGAGGGCAGCAAAGAGAGACCTCACGGTGGAAAGGCCAGGCTTAGAAAGAATTCTTGTGGGAAAGCGATTTTTTTCTTTTCTTTTAAACTGTGGAACTATTTCATTTTAGAGAGGAACATACAAATTGTGGTGTATATGTATGTCTACGTCGTTTTATATGTGTGATTATAAAATAATTGGTTGAAAGATGCCAAGAGTTGATACTTTACTTTGAATACTTTATTGCCGAGGCTAGTGTAAGTGCTTTCCTGCAACCGGAGAAGGAATTGCAAACATTTTCCCTGCAGGTAAGCCCAGGCCCTTGAGGAAAAACAGCCACTGAAGAGCTGGATAAGGGAGGATTGCTGTTGACTGAGAGTAACGCATACCATACTTACGGAGAGGATACTGAAATGGTACACGATAAATATGCACAAACTATTGGAACCAGACTTGGTTGATATGCCTAGACCAGAGGTGTGGACTTCTTAGTATCTGTTAGTCTATTCTTTTTGCGTCAAGTAAAAAAAAAAAAAAAAATATATTATTTATGATGAAAGGTATAATTACTCAAGCTATTATTTTTTTTTTTTTTACTGTTTTCCATTTATTTGGATTTTCCTCATATTTTTACCTGAATAGTCAAGAAATCTCAAGCTCAGCTGCAGAAAGAAGAGAAAGATAGCAGGCCGCATTTTCAATAGGGGCACACGTACTTACTTTGTTGGTAGATTGTGTGAGTGGCAGTTCTCAAGCCACGCAAACCGTAGTTGAGACTTCAAACTGTTCTCAGATATAGCTGCTCAGGGACTGAGAGTTCATGACAAAACTTGTATCGTTTGCCATCAAATACTTGCAGAGTGATTCAGAGCCCCATAAGAGCCATTACCAAAAAACAAACGCAAAAGAGCTTGCATAGAATAACCGATTCGTTACTAGTCCAAAACGACAATACATTGGGAATTACGCTCATCCATTTACATGCAATGGGTAGGAAAAACAAGTCTCACTAAAGCAGAATCTAAAAAATTTAATTGCAGAAACAATTTTTGGCATAGATGTGAAATAACCCATCAAACTGACATGGGACAAATGCAGACTTCTGCCTTACTATTGATACTTACATTGTATTTCTTTTAGAAGGGACAATTAAAACGACATTTATTTTGAGACAGTTTATTAGTGGCATTACTGTGTAAATGCCTTTAGAATTACCAGTAAAAAGTCAAGCAAGGAGTAGAGATAGTCTTAACATTTTGATTGACTTAACATTTTGTATATACAGAATGCAAACATGAATAATTTCATCAGATAGAAGGTATACTTAATTTGATTGGAAAACAGAAGCTTTTTTATTCTCATTGTGGCTAAGCCATGCATGGCTGAACTGTTGCACATCAGAACGTGCAGTTGTTTGGAACAGAATTGAGAATTTTAATAGGATTGGTCATTTAATTGTCAGTTGGAGTCTTGCCCAGTGCTTTAATCACTACTGCATTATGACAGTGCTTGAGGAAGTACATTGAAAATATTCCAATCCATTAACATATAGGCATGTTAACGATGATTATCGTTATCAGGTAGCAAAGCAAGGTCTCGCTTTGCCAGCTGCGTGAATTAGATTGTCATTTTGGGGGGGACATGAAGGATATTAAACACATCAAACTTTTAGTCTGAGATTGTCTGCTAAAGTTGTACTGCCTCATTGAAGTTACTTCTTATTCAGAGGATTTGAGCCTCTGCTACAAGGTCAAGGAAATACAACTCTGACTCTAGAGGAAGCAGTTTTTAAATCTGATTTAGGATTTGCTATTTTCACCGAATATACAGAGACATGCAGATCAGCATGTTTCAAAGGATTATGAATGTTTCATGATTCATATGGAGAACAGACAGATTTCTTTAAAAAGGTGTTATTTTCAGTGGCTTACCAAATTTCATCATCACCATCACTGCAAAGGACACACTGCCAGGCTCTTGCCCAGGTAATAAGACTTAGGCACAGTCTGCCCTTGAGAAACTCTCACTGTCCGAGGTTCTCTGTAACCTTCTTTTCCATCTTGAACCTCAACGTGGCATCTACTCATCATTCAAGACTCAAGTGTACTTGCCTCTGGAACACTTTTCTGATCATTCCCTTTATGTGTGCCTCCTACTTTGTCTTACAGAGACATCTTTCTATGGCATATACAAAAGGACATTTTATTTTTCATTTTCAGACCTGTCTCCCCCACTCTAAACAACATGAGGGCAAAAGACTATGTCTTTACTTTTATATTCCTTGTGCCAAGTCCAGTGGCTGTCTCAATGTTTGTTACAGGAACGGAATGTTTAATTGGAGGATGGGCCTGTATATAAAAAATAAATAAAAGTAGAAGGGAATATAAAGTAAGGGTAAGATTAGTTGTTCAGACAGTGTATAATGTGGGAGTTTGGTAGGGACTGTTGGCAGGACAAAGGTATCAGGGGAAAGTTTCCAGAAAGGGTAGGAGGGAGTATAGTAGGAAATAAAGAAGGAGTTTGTTGTAGACAAGAAGTAAAGTGGGCAAGGGCATTTCAGACAGGAAGGAAAATGAGTTTGTGATAAAGATATGGGTTAGGTGACCAACTAATACATAGTGTAAAATTTTTGCAGTGGTGTTAGAAACATGAAGATAATGTTGATAAAAATATTTGTCCTTAATGGGATATGACATTGGAAGGAAAGATTTTTATAATATATACAATTTGAATTGAAGGTGGCACTGTACTGTGGGCATAGATTTTAGAGTCATTTATATATACATAACTGAAGTCTTAAGATTGAGTAGATATCCAATGCAGAGAATTTGGAAGATGTGTGTTATGTGAGGTTCAAATCACTTACTGATTTTTATAAACATAGTGTTGAACTTATATTTACTCCCTAATAGGCAAGACCAATTTCAGACAAAAGTAGGCTTTAGGATTCCATTCTAATGGCACATATGTTATTGTGTTGTATACAGAGATGGGATTAATATATTAAACTATTGGAATGGATTATAGCCAGGGTCTGATCATCATTATAAATGGATTACATCCAGAGCGAAATCATTTAGATGATGAGATTTGGGAAGTATGAGCTAATGAGATTTAGATGAGATTTTTGGATTTTGAGTTGATGCTATAATTGAGATGAGACCTTTAGGGACCTGGGAGGGAGTGAATGTGTTTTTCATACGTGAAGGATGTAAATCATGGAGTCCAGAAGGTGGACGATGTAGGTAGAATTTTGGTCTCCATGACCTTTGCCATCTGGTGTCACGCTTGCCATTCAAAAATAGGTTTGGGATTTGGAGACTTCCAGCTAGTCAGCCAGCTGTCTGATGAGAAATGACTTGGAGAAAGACCTACCCCTAAGAAGGGATTAATGATCATATGGGACAAAAGAGCAGAAAGCAAATATTTACAGTGGGTTCCTTTGGAATCTCTTGGAATTTTATTAGAAAGAATGTAAGGAAATAGCATTTCATTTGGGGATTTTTTAATCCGTTGAATTCATGTGAACATTTTCCAATGCAAATTCTCGTCTAATCGTTTTATGGTCCTCAACCTATATAACGTTCAGGAACAAACTCAAAATTAAACCATTTCAGTCAGAGCTTTTGTTGTCCTATGCCCTGGGTCCATTCTGCAGGTCATCTGTATCTATCTATCTATATATATATAGATATATATATTTATATAACTTCACTAAATGAAATGATGTTTCAAGGCCTGTCACAGACAACAGTACAGATGGTAGTTAGGAGTTTTTGCAAAATATGAAAGCAAATTCTCTATTAATTATTATCCAAATTCCCCATATTTAATTAAATTTGAAACTGCATAGATAGTTTATGGAAGCCATGTCCTATGGAGGTCAAAGCAAATAATTGACCCTCCCCCTCCTCCCCCTCCCTCTTGCTTCTATCACCCCTGCACTGTATCCCTGCCAGCCCTCTATTTTGAATAGAGTCTAGAGTGTTTCAGCCCTTAATGTGCGTGTGAATCACCTGGAGAACTTGTTAAAGCAGATTCCTAGACCCCAGCCCCCAGACGTTCTAATTCAGCAGGTTCAGGGTAGAGCCTAAGAATTTGCATATCTAGCAGGCTCCCAGTTGATGCTGCCACTGATGCCAGTTTGGGGCTACACTTTGCAGCACTGGACACCTGTGCCAACTGCCTGTAACTAAGGGAAAGATGATGATGAAGCTGTTGGGTCCTTGGGATGGGGAGGGAGAGGGAAGACGTAGGGGTGCTAATCTAACTCACTACCTTTAATCAGGTCTCTATAACAAAACTACCTTTTCCCTTTTACAGAAGCAAATCCAGAGAAATTCAACAGTCGTTTTCGAAATAAAATGTTCTATGCAGGGGTAAGTATATATTTCATTTTTTGATGATTACACATTATTTATACTAATTCACTCATGGTAATAAAGATGCTAACTATACTCTGCTAATAATTACACACACATCTCAGATGTTTACATGTGTGTCTATATATGGTTAATGTTTAATGTCTTGGTTTAAGAATGAAAGTAAGTATGTATTTCTTAAGTTAGTTGTCAGAGAGTTCATCATCTTTGAACTTAAAAGCCCTGAAAGTTGTACTGAGGGCATGGTATTCAAGGAGTGGTGTGAAAAGCAAACATCAAAGCCAGTCTAGAGAATGAGGAAATTAGGTAGATTGAAGGATGTATGGCATGTCTTGGGTTAGAATGTAGTTTTCATAGGGGCACGTATGAACTGACATTTGGATGAGAAATTGACAGAATATGGGAAGTTTTTCATGGAAGCATAGATGAGATTAAAGGGGCCCCCTTCTTTTTCCTTCTCCTCCTACTCGGGGACATCCTTGGGCGTGAATGGCTGGAAAGAAAAAAAAGGGGCCTCTAAAATATTGATTTTAAAAAGTGTGGCTTAAATTTTACCACTGGATAGAGGGAATTGAAGTAAAACGGGGTGAAATAAGACATTCTCAGTGGCAAGTTAAAGATTATATCAGCATCTAATGGACTAATAGGAAGATCAGGAAAGGTAGTCAGATCTCCAAACTGACCCTTGAAATTACCTACATTTTCACTCTCCTACTGTGATCTTAAATTTTATTATAGGTTACTTTTTTTTTTTTTTTTTTGTGGTACGCGGGCCTCTCACTGCTGTGGCTTCTCCCGCTGCGGAGCACAGGCTCCGGACGCGCAGGCTCAGCGGCCATGGCTCATGGGCCCAGCCGCTCCGCGGCATGTGGGATCTTCCCGGACCGGGGCACGAACCCATGTCCCCTGCATCGGCAGGCGGACTCTCAACCACTGCGCCACCAGGGAAGCCCCTATAGGTTACATTTTGAAAACAGAGAAAGAGTTCTACTTAGCCTCTGCACTAGTTTACTTTAGATTCAGCAAAAGGAGAACTTGTCTTATATTTTTGCATAACTTAGAATCACTAGGACCTATCTATCTTACAGAAGCAAGGATTTGGCATAAGCATGCAATGAAGATTTTTTTCTTTCTTTCTTTCCTTGTATAGGCAGCTTTTTCTGATTTCCTACAGAGAAGCTCTAGAGATTTATCCAAGCATGTTAAAGTTGTCGTAAGTATTGAATGTGTTGACTCGTTTCATTTAAATGTAAAAAGCATGCCCCCTAACATGAACCCCAAATACCAGTTTATATACTTAATCAGTGGGCTGCATAGAACTTTAACTGAATTGAGTGTAGTTTGTTCAACCGACATTTATGAGCATTTAGTTATGTGTCAGGCGCTGTCTTAGTTGCTGAGGATGAAGTTAAATAAGATGACTGGCTTCACCACTGAAGAAACTCACAGTTGAGTCATGGGGAAGGGCACATAACTCTGGGCAGAACAATATAATCAATGTTGTTATTGGATTACTTATATAATATACTGGTGGCACAAAGGGAGAAATGAAAACTGCCCATGGTGCAGTCGGGGAAGTCATCAAAGGAATGAAGTTGGGCTCGCTAGTAAGGTAGAAATAGATGCTCACCAAACAAGTATCTTTATTCCCAGCCTATCTGAAGAGTCTCCGTCTTAGAAAAATATTTGATTTCATTATTTTGTGGTCACTCGCTCTCCAGCCTGCTCAAGATCCTTCACCACTTAAGAGATTTTTTTTTTTTTTTTTGGTGCTATTTCCCTCTGGGTCTCTATCCCAGGTTTTAGGGATACTCATCTTGGAGGCAAGGGAGATGGGAAGTCATTTTTTCTCTAAGAGATATATTTAAAAATGACTTCATTGATTATTGATTATCATTGATTATTAAGAAAGACAAAGTGTTTCCTTATAGTAAACAAGTTAAAAGAGGGAATGAACATGACTTTGCTGCACATACCTGTATAAGGAAAGAGAAACATGGAAGATAGAGAAAAATATATAGATGGGAAAGAAGGAATGGGAATGTAGCAATGCTTGAATTTATTGTGGAATAGATAAAGAATAGCATTTGTGACAGGAGGGGACAGGACAAAAGGTATACATGTAAGTAGAGACAAATATATGACCTTAAACTAATGGATTTATAGAGGAATATAGAGGAGGCTGAGAGGATACAAATTCAAATTCGTTGTCACCAATAAAGCCTGTAGGAGACATGAATCTCCTAAATCAGTTGAAACAGAGTTTACCACTAATCACCCTGGGCATCACTTTCAGATGTTTCAGTTCCCATGAAATACCAACGAAAAGCAAGCATCCTATAGCAGTAGCAACTTTGGAAAACTGAAATATTGCCTTTTTAAAGCTAGATACAAGAAAGACACATGGTCCATTGAACTGCGAAGATCTTGATTTTGATAAAATGATGGTTAGTTAAGTAGCAGCAACCTTGCCTCAAACTTCCCCTGTTTCTTCTTTGGCTGCCTTCAACCAAGCCAAAAATAAACCTTCCCTCCTCTTGCAGTATTTTTCACATTATTAGGAACATTGCAGCACCTGCCGGGAGAGCCACTGAGCGGAGGGCAGTGGCCATATGGAATGGTAATGCTGTCCACTGTTTAACTCAGCTGGATGGAAATTAAGCTCTATGCCGCCTCACCACTAGAAAGCTTTTCTCCCACATCTGGCAGTCCTCCTGATGAGAAATATCTCAGGCATGGTTGGCTGTGTATCAGGGATTAAAAGAAGCTTGTAGAGAGGCCAAGGTGGCAGTCAAATAACTAGAAAAGATTTGATATCAGCCTGTACATGTAACATTCCAGGTGGATTGGTCTACGTAATCATCTCTTTTTTTTATGAAGAGAAAAAAAAACAATAGAAACTAAGTCTGAACAATTCTGATTCAGTCCTAGGTCTATCTTTATGAGGTATATGACTTTGGGGGAAGCATTCAACCTTTCAGAAGAGTTCTCTCTCCTCATCTGTAAAGCAGGCATAACAACATATGCATTTGAAGCAACAGTTACTGACCATTGTGCTGTGACACAAGGATATTTCTACAACGACATCATTGTATGTTTCCTGAGTGTGAGATGAAAAGGATGGGGGGTTAGAGCAATTAGATGTACACATAACAGCAGACCATCTTATCTTTGCCACAGGGTGAAGTCAGTATTTCCAAGGTAATAGTTAATAATCTCTCACATGAATGCTACACACACACAGACACACACACACGCACACCCCCAGAGGACAGTAATGAAAACCTACATACAGCATTATTTTGTTCTGCTTCACATGTGTTCTTCTTCTTGTTTAGATGTACAAGTGTGTGAGCTTGTACACAGGAAGATATTTTGTGTGCACATATTTTCCTTTGTGTGTTTGAAGTAAGGAAAAAGTTGAAAACGGCCGCTCTAAAGAGTTGTAAAGTTTAAATGCAATAATATATAAGAAAATTTTGTAAAACTCAATACATTGTAAGGTGCCCATCCTCACAGAATTCGATGAGTTTCCAGAATCGCTGATGAGTTTTTCAGGAGGAGAAAGTAGAAAATTTTTTTAGAAAATGAATTCTGTTCTAAGTACAATAATATTAAGTATAATTTTTTCTGTAATGCAACAATACTGCTTTGCATGCTTTTAATGTATCACATGCTATTTTTAAAAAGTTCAGTTGCTTTCAACACTCAATTTTGATCATTTAAGATGTCTACATTTTTTCTTCACTGGTAGAGCCATCTATCAACTCATTTCAAGTCCTTAAATTGGGAGACCTCATGTTTATTTAAGTATCTGAGAGTGTTGTAAAAACACCTTCAGTCAATGTCCAGAATTTGATTCCTATCTAAAAAACGTTTGAAAATACTTTGTTTATTTAGGATTGTAAGATTTCCCAGGAACAATTTTTGAGAATGCTCATGAAAAGAAAATTAGGCTGTGTTAAGATCAGCTGGGAGGAGAATGAGACAACCTTGACCACTAGCAGAGTCATTTTACCTGGATTGAAACTCCCTCTGAAGCCATCCTTAGAAATTAGCAGGGAGCTTAGGAATGCTTTACCCTCTCCTCAGCAGAGAAGACAGTGGGGGAAATTCTGTGATGAGGGTGTGAGGAGAGCAAATATAAAAGCAGGCTTTATACCTTTGACATTGAGAGGCCTACAGTCATGACTAGACTGTTCCTCTTTTGGCATTTGTCACCAGTGGGAAATGAGAAAGGGAAACGAAACCCCTTTCTTTGATTAGTCAGATGACGCTCTTGAGGAAAGTACTAACTGGTGAGGGAAGCCACACACACAGAGGTGTTGAGGCCAAGCCACCCTGAGGCTCTTGAAACCCAGGGTCACGGCCAGGTTCAATAAAGCAGTTTATCGCAGAAGACCGGTCACAGTCTGTAAGAGATTAAATTGATAAGAGCAAATCACTAATTAGTGATTGCTAATACTAATTTATAACAGATACTTTTAAAAAAGCATGCAGGGTATATTCCTTTTAAACAGCGTTCAAAATATTATGTCAAATATTTTCAAAATAAAAATTATCTCAGAAAGCAAATAAAATAAATGGTCACATTCACGACTATTGTTTGAATCAGATGACTTCGGTAGAGATTGCTACTGCCTCAACTTGAGGATTCATCCTTTTTATTCTTTGAAACGTTTATAAATTTTCTAATGTTGATACTACAAGCCAATTTATGCTATCCAGTAATAATCCAAGGTTAAGAGTGATGATCGTTCCTTTGATTGTGAGACCAGAGAAAAATCATTCTGGTCAAATGGCAGCTTTGTTTTTACATTCAATCAAAACAAATCCAAGCCCAGAACCCTGGGTCTGGGAAAGTTATAATCAGAATAAAGTTTCAATCATAGTAATGGGCATCCACTTCAGCAGAGACAGGGACAAGGGGAAGACCATGGTACGTGCTGTTGTCACCCTAGTTGTCTTTCAGACTTGAGCCTACTTCAGAATCCTTGCTTTTTTGCTTTGATTGTTGCAGTGTGATGGAACAGATCTCACCCCAAAGATTCAGGAACTGAAGTTCCAGTGTATAGTATTTTTAAATATACCCAGGTAAGCTCTGTTCATATTGTTTCCTTGGTTTGATGTGAACTCCATTTGACTTAAAGTTTTCTGCTTTCATTATAGAAAATTTCCAGGTACAAACAATGAAAAACAGTTATTTTAATGGCTTATCAAGGGTTTTCGAGTCTGATAATTTTGTTCTCCTACTTGGTTTGTTTAGTGTTCTCTGTGGTACTTTTGTGTTTATGTGATACAGCACGCATGGTGTATACTTACCCACCCTTAAGAAGCCCAGGCAGCCCTCTGGACTGGAATATTTTACTGTAATTCTCAATTACTGACGCCTTCCATCCCCTCACCCCTCACCCAGGAATGATAGACTTGAACAAATCCCTGTTCTCAGTTTCCCAAAAGCTATTAGGCAACCATCCAGCCTGATTTCAGCATGGAATTCATTCAGAATAATTGCCAGATGATTACTTTGAAAAAATAGGATCAATTAGAGGAGCATTTTCTAGCCAGGATGTCAGCTCTCTGTGGTGCTATTATATACCTCAGGAGAAAGGGATATTTAAGATTAACTAGTCTCAAAATAAGCATGTATCTCAGTGACATCAAATTAGATTCTAGGCTCCGAAGCCAAGATTTTGAAAGGGGTTGGATCTGTGACCCTTTGTTATTTGCAAACCAGACAACTCAGACACAAAAATCCATGAGCAAGTTCTGTTTAGACTGAATTTAGTTGAAATGAGGATTGTGAGTAAATCTATGGCTAGGAAAATATGTCTCCTGATTACTTTTGGCAGTGCTCAACGTAGCCCCTTACATCCTGTTCCGGAAGTATTTTCATTTTAGTTGTCGAAGTAGAAGGCCTAGTAGATTCTCAGGAAACGTTGTTGATTAGCAATAACAATGCTCTTCTCTTTTTCTTCTTGCTCCTCCCCCATCCCCCCTCTGGATTTTGCTTCCTCCACTTTTTAACTTCCTTGATTTCCCCTTCCCTTTCTAATCTCACATCTTTGTCTCATCCGTTTTTCACTCCTTCTGTCCGCTTCAGTTACCTTTCCTTCGTCCTAGGGTACTTATTGTCTTCTTTCTGTGTATATTATTGATGCTTACCCACCTCCGTTCCATTTCCCTTTCCTATTGGCATGTATATGTCTCCCTCCAAGACCAAGTTCTGAAACCACCTATTGATAACTCATGGTATGTGATAGAAAGTAAGCATTTGTGAATTACAGAGTGAGACATGTTGATAAATAATTAGGAGAAAGTTGGGCTCCACGGGATGCTTTTGTTGTAAAATTTTGCCCCATTTTCATAAATTGATACTTGGAGGTGATAAATTCATTTTCTTTTTTATTGGGAGGTGTGAACCAAGAGTAGAAAGATGTGTGAAATAAACATCGGGTCGAACTATAAATTAATCCCCAATGATAATCATGGGAAGACTGGAGCAAATTTCATTCTGTTTTTACTCTTCTCTTGCAGATATTGTGCTGGCACAATGCCTTGGGGGAACCCAGGAGATCACCATGACTTTGAACCTCAGCGTCATGACGATGGTTATATTGAAGTCATTGGATTCACCATGGCCTCTCTGGTGGGCAATGCATCTATGTTATTGAAGTGTAATGTGCTTTAGTCAGAGTTAGACTTTACTATTCATTTTATAGGACCTTGGTATAATGTTCTTTCCTGGCTTGTCAACTCACAAACTTTATGCAATGTAGAGTTGCCAGGGGAAGACAAAAACAAAAAGTAATTCTTCACGTCACTAAAAAAATTGATGCATATTTTTTGTTTAAACTTCAAAGATAAATGAATATTATGTGTTAATTATCCTGATGAATTTTCTACCAGAATGAAGTGGAAAGTTTTCATGCTAATTAAAAAACATTATGCCACAGACATATCCTAGCATTGATGCAGAAACCTTGCCATTTGATACTTTTTTGGTTTGCTGAGTACTTGAGTGCTTAGATAATAAGGAAAGTGGTCATTTGCATTCATCTCCATCTTGCCTGCTTAAGCATAAGATGGGTGTCTCCCTTATCACAAAATACCCGAATATAGAAAAACGTCATTGTTGTGACGTTAATGAATATTCAGTTGCACAGTATCGAGATCACCTTGCATTTTAATTTTGTTTGCTGGCATTAAAAAAGTAAACGTATAGTATAAGGTCAGTTTCAAGCAGGTTTTAGCCATGTGTTTCAACTTATTATTGAAGGATGAGGAAACCAATTAAAAAGTTTGCTTATCATTGTATCCGGTGTAAATCAGGCCACACTATCAGTTGGTAAAGCAAATTAAAATAAAGCTTCTACTTGCACTTGGCTAGCACTTGGTTTGGGCCATACCTTATGCCTCAAGGCAAGAAGGTTGTATTTCTTGTCCTGAACAACCCAAAACAACTCTTTTTCACTCATCTTGTGGATTCCAAATGACTTTTCCTCCATCACCTCGAATTAGTGAGGTTTAACAGAATACCCTATTGTGATTATGGCAAGAATGTCCATCGCCTGAGATGGTGATGTTGCTTGTTACATGTGCCATGTCTACAATGAAATGGCCGTTAGGTGTAAAAGATTGCTCTAGGATTGATCTAATTTCCAGAGTTGTAGCTCATATCTAGCTCTTTCTCTCGAAAGGTCTTTATGCTAACTATAGGTAAAGACTCGGCCAAGAGAAAATAGGAATAAGTCCAGGTAGGGTTTGTGCCAGGGAGAATTCTTGGAGGTTCCCAAGACAAACCTGGCCACATGTGTTTTACTCATTCATTTATTCACTAATCCAGTGACCGTGTATTGAATGTTTACCGTGTGTGAGAGCTTCCTAGTCCTGGCTGTGTGGTAGAAGGCTGTCAGGGAATGTCTAAGAGAAGATGATCCCTTACCTAGGCCTGGGAGGGCAGGTAGAATATTAAGACACTTTCCCATTGCTCTCAAGATCAAAATCTAAATCTTTATCACAAAATTGAGTTTCTCTCTGATTCTCCATCCTTTCCCACTGCCCTCTTTGTTTTCTAGCTCGTTGCCTGTCAAGTCAAGTATCGCTTTGGACATCCCTTGCTTCTTTTGTACCACAGGGACACTGCATATGCTGCCTTTCTCTCAAATGTTCTTTACCCCTCATCTTCTATAACTTCTCAGTCTGTATGTGTGTCAGGTTCTCTTTACAGTCTTTTTTTGGTTTGGGTTGTTTCTGCTTACAATTATATAATTAAAGTCTGAACAAGAAGGATATGGCAGAGTGAAACTGGGTAATTAGAGGAGAATTTAATGGAGGGACTCTTTACAAATAGTGCACTAGGTTTATGAGAAGCAACAATGGATGGTGTTGTATTCCTGAGCTAAAGGTGCAAAGGCAGGGAAGCAGTCAGTTGTACCAGAAAGAGAACTATTTGGGAAAGACCACCTGTTAGGAGTAGTATTTGCTAAGTGAAAGCAGCCATCCTGTGCCAGCCTGGCAGGGAGAGGGTCAGGGACATCAATACAATTCTTGCCCTCCAGATCTTCTGCCATTGTCTCCCTCTGGAGAAGTCTAATGGAAGCCGGAAGACAAGGGGGCCATTAATACAGTCTAAATGGGTCAGTTTCACAGACAAAAAGGAGCGCAGGGAAGGGGTGGAGTGCTGGGTGGGAGTGGCAGATGGTCGGTATCCATCACTCCAGTGTATCTCTGGTACACAGCAGCGAGCCTGATACCTGTAATTGTCAACGAGTAAATGTGACAGGATGAATGAATTTTGCCAGGAGAAGAAGAATGGACTTGGCATTCTGGAAAAAGGGAAATTTACATACACTTGGTAGTATTAGAGACCATAGTCCTCTGTGGAGACTACAGTTAGTCTTATGTAGCATAAAGGTAGATGAAGTGAGAGTGATGGAGGTGACGCTGGAGAGGAAGACAGGGATGACATCACAAAGTGCATTATAAAATTTATCTAGGAGTTTTGACTTTGAGGAATTAGTAAAGTGTGTTTTTTTTATTAAAAAAAATTTTATAACGTCTTTATTGGAGTATAATTGCTTTACAATGGTGTGTTAGTTTCTGCTGTATCAAAAAGTGTATCAGCTATACGTATACATATATTCCCATATCCCCTCCCTCTTGCATCTTCCTATCTCACCACTCTAGGTGGTCACAAAGCACCGAGCTGATCTCCCTGTGCTATGCGGCTGCTCCCCACTAGCTATCTATTTTACATTTGGTAGTGTATATATGTCCATGCCACTCTCTCACTTTGTACCAGCTTACCCGTCCCCCTCCCCGTGTCCTCAAGTCCATTCTCTACATCTGCGTTTTTATTACTGTCCTGCCCCTGGGTTCATCAGAACCATATATTTTTTTACAGTCCATATATATGTGTTAGCATATGATATTTGTTTTTCTGTTTCTGACTGACTTCACTCATATGACTGACTCTAGGTCCATCCGTCTCACTACAAATAACTCAATTTCATTTTTTATGACTAATATTTCATTGTATATATGTGCCACATCTTCTTTATCTATTCATCTGTCAATGGACACTTAGGTTGATTCCATGTCCTGGCTATTGTAAATAGTGCTGCAGTGAACATTGTGGTACATGACCCTTTTTGAATTATGGTTTTCTCAGGGTATATGCCCAGTAGTGGGATTGCTGGATCATATAGTAGTTCGACTTTTAGTTTTTTAAGGAACCTCCATACTGTTCTCCATAGTGGCTGTATCAATTTACATCCCCACCAATAGTGCAAGAGAGTTACCTTTTCTCCACACCCTCTCCATCATTTATTGTTTGTAGATTTTTTGATGATGGCCATTCGGACCAGTGTGAGGTGATACCTCATTGTAGTTTTGATTTGCATTTCTCTAATGATTAGTGATGCTGAGCATCTTTTCATGTGTCTGTTGGCCACCTGTATATCTTCTTTGCAGAAAAGTCTGTTTAGATCATCTGCCTATTTTTGGATTGGCTTGTTTGTTTTTTTGATATTGAGCTGCATAAACTGCTTGTATATTTTGGAGGTTAATCCTTTGTCAGTTGCTCCATTTGCAAATATTTTCTCCCATTTTGAGGGTTGTCTTTTCATCTTGTTTATGGTTTCCTTTGCGGTGCAAAAGCTTTGAAGTTTCATTAGGTCCCATTTGTTTATTTTTGTTTTTATTTACCTTTCTCTAGCAGGTGGGTCAAAAAGGATCTTGCTGTGATTTATGTCATAGAGTGTTCTGCCTATGTTTTTCTCTAAGAGTTTGATAGTGTCTGGCCTTACATTTAGGCCTTTAATCCATTTTGAGTTTATTCTTGTGTATGGTGTTAGGGAGTGTTCTAATTTCATTCTTTTACATGTAGCTGTCCAGTTTTCCCAGCACCAGTTATTGAAGAGGCTGTCCTTTCACCATTGTATATTATTGCCTCCTTTATCAAAGATAAGGTGACCATATGTGCGTGGGTTTATCTGTGGGCTTTCTATCCTGTTCCATTGATCTGTATTTCTGTTTTTGTGCCAGTACCATACTGTCTTGATTACTGTAGCTTTGTACTATAGTCTGAAGTCCAGGAGCCTGATTCCTCCAGCTCATTTTTCTTTCTCAAGATTGCTTTGGCTATTTGGGGTCTTTTTTATTTCCATACAAATTGTGAAATTTTTTGTTGTAGTTCTGTGAAAAATGCCATTGGTAGTTTGATAGAGATTGCACTGAATCTGTAAATTGCTTTGGGTAGTATAGTCATTTTCACAATGTTTATTCTTCCAATCCAAGAACATGGTATATCTCTCCATCTATTTGTATCATCTTTAATTTCTTTCATCACTGTCTTACAGTTTTCTGCATACAGGTCTTTCGTCTCCTTAGGTAGGTTTATTCCTAGATATTTTATTCTTTTTGTTGCAGTTGTAAATGGGAGTGTTTCCTTAATTTCTCTTTCCGATTTTTCATCATTAGGGTATAGAAATGCAAGAGATTTCTATGCATTACTTTTGTATCCTGCTACTTTACCAGATTCATTGATTAGCTCTAGTCATTTTCTGGTAGCATCTTTAGGATTCTCTATGTATAGTATCATGTCATCTGCAAACAGTGACAGCTTTACTTCTTTTCCGAATTGGATTCCTTTTATTTCTTCTCTTATTGCTGTGGCTGAAACTTCCAGAACTGTATTGAATAGTAGTGGTGAGAGTGGGCAACCTTGTCTTGTTCCTGATCTTAGTGGAAATGGTTTCAGTTTTTCACCATTGAGAGTGATGTTAGCTGTGGGTTTGTCATATATGGCATTTTTAATGTTGAGGTAAGTTCCCTCTATACCTACTTTCTGGAGGATTTTTATCATAAATGGGTGTTGAATTTTGTCAAAAGCCTTTTCTGCATCTGTTGAGATTATCATATGGTTTTTATTCTTCAATTTGTTAATATGGTGTATCACATTGATTGATTTGTGTACATTGAAGAATCCTTGCATTCCTGGAATAAACCCCACTTGATCATGGTGTATGATCCTTTTAATGAGCTGTTGGATTCTGTTTGCTAATATTTTGTTGAGGATTTTTGCATCTGTGTTCATCCGTGATATTGGCCTGTAGTTTTCTTTTTTTGTGACATCTTTGTCTGGTT